TCCACTCTGCTCCCAATCTGCTCAATGCTGCAGTCTCCACTCTGCTCCCATCCTGCTCAATGCTGCAGTCTCCACTCTGCTCCCATCCTGCTCAATGCTACAGTCTCCACTCTGCTACCATCTGGCTTAATGCTGCAATCTCCACTCTGCTACCATCTGGCTTAATGCTGCAATCTCCATTCTGCTACCATCTGGCTTAATGCTGCAATCTCCACTCTGCTACCAACCCAAGTAAGATGCCTTCTCAGGGCTGTGTTCATTTCAAAATGTGCAGACCCCACTGGTTGTTGTGTGCATTTGGTGTTAGCACAGTCTTTTCCACTATACATGATGGTTATGAAAACTAAAAAGGTAAGTAACTAGCATATTTTTAAAATAACGATAAAAATTATTTTTCAAACATGTTATAACAAACTTCTATGGCCATCACATCCCAGGTGGGCTTGAACTCTGGACATCTTCATTGAGAAAGTTGTACCTCTTAACTGGTAGCAACTCCAACTGCAGTCTCATCACCAAGATAATTGCATTTCAATGTGTTGTGGATAGCTAATTGAAATGGCTTAAATACCTGACTTTCCTGATGAAATCAGCAGATAATTTGGTAAGTGTAGAGAATTAATGGGCTCATTTAATAACACAAGTGCTGTAATTGACCCCAGTAGTTATGACCATGCCATCTGCTAAAAAATAGGGTACTGTATGTGATAAGTCTGGATAGTGCAAATGGTGGGGACTGTAGCTGATTTTTATCTTATTTGTTTTTAAAGCCTGTGATACAGGGGATGGTGCAGGAAAGATCTTCCAGTTTTCAGGTGGTGGAAGATAGTTTCTAAACCCTATGTTGGATTGATCAAGCATCTATGGAAAAGTGTACATTGCTAGCTTTGGAGAGAGAGGAACAAGCTCTCAGGTTTCATTGAAATGAGACAGTTGGGGTGGTTTCAAGATGCAAGAACACTGGTAAAGGAATTGTCATGGTGCTCACTGGAGGCCAACTGGAAGAGAGGTAGTCTGCTATGACAATATTCAAAGCAGCCCTGGGTGTGGTAGAAGTGTGGGGTGGAGGGTGCAGGTGCTATGACTTGGAAGAATTGTGGTGGGCTGCTAGGATTTGAAATGATGGGAGACTGGTCTTGAATTAGGTCAGAAATCACACAACACCAGGTTATTGTCCAATAGGTTTATTTGAAAACACAAATTTTCGGAGCCTCAGTCCTTCTTCAGGTGTCACCTGAACAAGGACTGAGGCTCTGAAAGCTTGTGTTTTCAAATAAACCTTTTGGACTATAACCTGGTGTCATGTGATTTCTGACCTTGTCCAACACCAGCACCTCCACATCTGGTCTTGAATTAGGGTGACATTGATAGAATATAGGGGATAGGATTCTGGACGGAAAAATATAGAGGGAGGAATGATGTGGAGTACTCTGGATAAAAGCATTGTGATGGGGAAGATATTTATTGCATGAATGGGAGAGGAAGCAGGATGGGTTTGGGGTGAGCACATGCAACTCTATGGAAGGGAGTTTAAGCTAATGTTGCAGGGACTATAGCAGTTAGGGAATTTATTAAAGGGGTTCTTGAGCAATATGTTGGGGAACAATGAGCACTTTGAATAATACATATTTCTCTAGAATCATAGAATCCCTACAGTATGGAAGCAGGCCATTTGGCCCATTGAGTCCACACCAACCCTCCAAACAGCATCCCAACTAGACCCATCCCCCACCCTATCCCTGTAACCCTGCATTTCCCATAGCTAATCCTCCTAACCTACACATCCCTGGACATTATGGACAATTTAGCTTGGCCAGTCTACCTAACCTGCACATCTTTGGAGTGTGGGAGGAAACTGGAGTATTTGGAGGAAACCCGTGCAAACATGGGGAGCATGTACAAGCTCCAAACAGACAGTTGCCCAAGTTGAAATTGAATCTGGGTCCCTGGTGCTGTGAGGCAGCAGCATTGCTTACCACTGAGCCACCGTGCTGCCCCCAGGTCACTGTTTGGCTACATTTCTTAAAGTCTTGTTTCTTGATGTGAGCAACACTTTGCCTCTATTGATCACTGAGCCAGTTCGTGGTTGATTGCTGAGGTTTGAGGTTCTATTAAAGCAATGGGGTTTCCAGCATTCTGCAAGTAATCCTTAACTGTTGACCAGCAGCCATAGAGGAAATATATTAATTAATAACAATACTGCTGACTTTTTATTTTAAATAATACACGTTTTCTCATCAATGGGGAAAGATCTGTTCTCTGCACTTGATGTGAAGACAAATGAAATCAAAAGACCATTACCCAGAAATATTCCTGTGGAGTATCCTCTTGCACCAAGACTCTCAAACTGTTCAGAATAAAGAGGGAAGCACACTCCATTCTTTCCATAATAATTGCCAAATATAGCATGATTCCACAATGGTATCACGGCAATGATGAATCCCGCAATCCAGATGGAGACCAGTGTTGATAAAGTTTGTCTCTTGCCTGGCCTGTAATGAGTGAATGGAAAGACTATGCACATGTATTTCTCAAGCGTCATATATGTCAGTAGCATGACAGAGACCTCAGTGGAGAGCATAGCTAATGCACCAATGAGCTGACACTTCATGCTGTCCATCCATTGTTGGGCATTCTTATTGTACTCTCCGAGATACTTCATGTCGAAGGCACCAATGAAGAAGAGATAAACTCCCATCAGACAATCAGCACCTAGGAAAGAAAGACACTATTAAATTAAGAAACAAATGCTACATTTCTTCTGAGGCAACTTTCAACTCATCTGAAAATGCTATACAACCAATTAAATGTTTTTCAAAGGGAGCTATTGTAGTGTAGGAAATGAGGCAGCCAATAATGTACAACATGTTCCCATAGGTATTATCAATAACTCTGGGAGTGCCTCCCTACTCTTCATTGAATACTACTATGGGGTATTTCAAGTCCACTTGAAGTGCCTCCGTTTAATGTATCATCTGGAATAAAGCACCTCAAACACTGCTGCATTCCATTAGTACAGTGCCAAAGTGTAAGACTAAATTATGTGTTTAATAAGATGACTCACCAATCATCACCACCTTTTCAATTGGCAATTAGAGCTGAGAAGTGAATGATGGCTTTACAAGCAATATCCACATCCCATAAATGAATTAAAAAAAAACTCAGTACTGTTTTACGCCCATAATTATCAGGCTCCATTTGTGAAATATCTACTCTTGTCTCCAGTTACAGCTTATTGTGCCATTCAAATAATAAAGTGTCTTCAGGGCCCACTTACAGCAGAGTGATTTGATAGACAGGGTATGTAGTCTGTTTTCTGTTGTGATGCATGACCTCATGCAGATGACAAAGAGGTTTCCAAAGCAGATGATGAAAGCAACCACCCACACAAAGACCCGCAAAATTATATTGGCCAACAGGTTTTCAAAAGATGAGATCCCATCTGTATTTGGCTTGCAGCTCCGGACATGTGGAGAATACCTGCAGTATTCAAACTTGTTGAAGTATCTGTCAAAGTTTAAGAAAAATAAGAGCTTTAATAATCAAACAGAAGAGTTTCCATTATCTGCTGTTCGTGGCCCTGGATGCCCCTTATTGAAAAAAAGTGATTTGTCACAAGACCTCATGCAAGAAATAATGCATTCCTTCATCTATGATTGGTACGTTTATTGAGCTTAATATTAGGAGGGGAGATGGTCAGAAACAGGCTCAACTGTGATCCCATCATGGCTGATGAACATGCTGAGGTATTTATTAGATGTACGACCACTTGGGTATGTGATAAAGATGTATAGTGTATTATTATCATCGGGGAATGTGAATTTTTTTAAAGTAGTGGTAATGCGGATTGTCGGTTCAGTTCTGAGAAGGTAAATGCTTTGTTTTAAGAAGTGAGAAACTCATCTGGAACAATTGAGTAAACCCATAACCTCTAAGAAAGCGTATGAATCAACTCAAGCGCTAGCAGGATACTATTTTTAATACTCTGATGTCTCCGGTGTGTTATTAGGCCATTCAGACCAGGTTTGACCATTGGTCTGTGTTTTTGTCTAATTTCAGTTTTGAGGGTTTGAGTATGGACATTGCACTTGGTCTCCATGCCTGTGGGCCTTTACAGAAGGAAAAGATTCAGGCAGGCTTCCTGTTTCCTAATGCATTGGCCTTTTCTGAAATGTTAGTGGATATTAATTTAGGATGGAATTAGACTTTTGAATGATAGTATAAAATATTTGACATTAGATAAGCACGTGATGCACATCTGCTTCTCAATACCTGCTGTGTATTTTGAAACATATCACCATGGCTACTTGGTTGAAGTGCTGAAGGACAGCTATTGACCATAGAACAAAAGCCACCCGTTTCCTCTTCTATAACATCACCCACCTCTGCCTTAGACTCTTTGCTGCTATCATATTCTGTTTTATCATGCTTCATGATATTGGGATATTTAAGTATGTTAAAGATGCCAAATAAACATAAGATGTGGTTTTTGACACTGAGCCATATAAGACCATAAGAAATTGAAACAGGAATAGGCTGTTCAGTCCCTTGAGCATGCTTTACCATTTTTAGGATTATGGCTGATCCAACATTCTTCATGTCCACTTTCCTGCCCTTTTCCTGTAAGCCTTGATTCCCCTACGGATCAAGAATCTATCTATCTCAGCCACAAGGACTCTGTCCCCATAGCTCTCCATGGCAAGGAGTTCCAAAAACTCAAAATCCTCTGAGAGAAGAAATTCCATCTTATCTCAGTCTTAAATTGCGCCCCTTTATTCTGAGGCTACATACTCTGATCCTAAACTCCCATGAGGGGAAACATCCTCTCAGCATTTGCCCTGACAAGCCCGTTAAGAATCCTATATATTTCAATGAGATCGCCTCTCATTTTTCTATATAATGAAATGGCAAAATGCATGACCAAAGAAGTAGGCTTCAAAGATCATCTTAAAGGAGAATAGAGAAGAAAAAGAAGGGGAAATTTAGTGAAGGAATGCAGAGCTTAGGCAACTGAAGGTATGGACACTAATGATAGAGTGATCATGATCAGGAATGTTCGAAAGATCAAAATTTGAGGAGCACAGAAATCTTGGGGAGGGAGGGAGTGAGTGTGTGTGTGTGCGTGTGTGTGTTTCTTGTATGGCTGAAGGAGATTGAAGACGTAGAAAGTGTGAGGCCTTGAGAACTTTTGGAAACAGAACGAATAAAATTCTGACAAAAGATCATCGACCTGAAATAATAACCCTCTCCACAGATACTGCTTGACTTGTTCAGTATTCCCAGTGTTTCCTTCTTGTGCAGTGAGTAAAATTTATATTTTGCTTAACCAAGTACCACATGGTCCAGAAAAAACTGCGATGCCAGATGAACACAACAATGGTAGTAAAAATATAAGCACGAGAGTCTGAGGTGGAATTGGCAGATCTTATGGAGGTGGAAAAATATGGTCTTAATTCCATGGCCAGTGACTGTCCTTCAAATCTGAACCAAGTGACCATTGCCTATGTACCAAAACACAAAGTAAGTGGTAAGAAACTGTGGACCACCTCACAGATATGTGTTCAACTACATCCACACATAGATGCTTTTTATTCTAATTTACGCTCTCTTCTTAACTTGAGGACACCAACATTAGTTGAAGTAGGCAACTGTTGCCAAGGTAGCATTTGAATAATTCTGCTCACGGCAGCATTTAAATTTAGGATTTACCTGGATTGTATAGCTCACCAACACTGAACCATGGAAAATAAAGCTTATCAGAAAACAGCATATGACTAGAGCTAAAATGTTCCTGGCTCTGTATATGCTCTAATGAGCAAATCTTATCAACAAAACTGTAATGTAAATGGCACTGTAGCAGGTTATCCACGTTGAACCTAGACAGGGGAAAGCTTGTGATGTGATAAGACTCAGAGGTGGAAGGGAAAAATATCTAATAAAGTGACAGACATGTCCTCTAAAGTCTGACAAGTATGACATTTTGTTGATCAGAATTGTGATTCTTACAGGGAATTCGATCTTAAGAGAGCGACTGAAACATTGTGTAAATGCCAAGTGTTGGCACCCTTCAAGCATGAGCAGTATTGCAGCTAAGCCAGATCCTTTCCTCACCAGGCAGTCAGTCATCTCTGGTTTCTAGCAGAAGTCTTCAAGTTTGTAATTGGAAGTTGAAAGTATGATAGATGCTTTTCCTCACCAACTTACAGAAATTTAGAAATGTAACATCTCCAGTGCTATTCTAAGTGGGCTCTCAGAACGTGCGACTTTCCTGTCCTGCATGGCTCAGTTCTGGAGAAGAAAATTAAGTCACTTTACTGAGGTTTCAGGGTGGTGTCTTCACAATTTTAGAGTCATAGAGTCATAGTGATATACAACATGGAAACAGACCCTTCGGTCCAACTCGTACATGCCGACCAGATATCCTATATAAATCTAGTGCTATTTGCCAGCGTTTGGCCCATATCTCTCTAAACCCTTCCTATCATATAATAATGAAAGGACTGCGGATGCTGTAAATCAGGAAACTAAACAGAAATTGCTGGAAAAGCTCAGCAGGTCTGGCAGCATCTGTGAAGGAAAAAACAGAGTTAACGTTTCGGGTCCGGTGACCCTTCCTCAGAACTGAGAACTTCATTCTGAGGAAGGGTCACCCGACCCGAAATGTTAACTCTGTTTTTTCCTTCACAGATGCTGCCAGACCTGCTGAGCT